TGTCCTGCAGGGCTGTGAGCACTGACCTGTGTGTGTCCTGCAGGGCTCTGAGTACTGACCTGTGTCACCTCCAGAGCTGGGCCAGCTCCTGCAATCTCTGCTGCTTTGTGGCTCCCATGGACAGGAGGGGTTGGATTGAACACCTGCCTCTTGAGAGCAGCTCCTGAGGGAATCTGCTGCTTGGATCATCCTCTGTGTGCTTTCTTGGATGCATCCTGTGTTGTGTGTTCTCTCTTCCCTGTCCTTCCCAGCCCTCCATTCCTGTGATCCAAGTTAAGGCAGCACCACTCCCTGGCCATGTTGGCTCTGTCTCTCTAAACAAGCCCCTCCACACCATCTCCATCATCCCCTTTCACCCTGCACCCTCCTCCTGACCTAAACCAAACTTTCCTTGCTTTGTGCTCTGCTCACTGTCAGGCCCAGCTAAGCCAGAACTGAGGCTGCTTAAACCAGCACTACTGGGGGGAAGAGCTCTCAAATTCCACCTGGGAAGGAGCTTCCTGTGTGGAAGTGTCCAGTGCTGAAATCACACTGACTGGTATTTGCCAGTAGCAGCAAAGCAACAGCTTAAAGATACTTTGAGGAATGATTGTCCTGATTCCCACTGGGAGCAGCTGCAGCCAGTGCTCTGAGGGCACTGCAGGCACAGCTCCTGACAGGCAGGGGCTCTGCTCTCACCACAGGGTTGGGCTGAATGAGCCTTGTTGCCAAGGGGGCAAGTGCTGCCTCTGCAAGGGCCACTGTCCCTTGGGGGAGTGGGGGAAATTGCTGTGTCTTTCACCATCTCATGCCAAAAATGTATCTTGTCCTTTCCAGAATTCGGAGTATTAACATCTCGTCCCTCTGGAAAGTGTTTTCCCAGCAGAAAGTGCCTCCCTGTCTGGGACAGGATGACAGACCTGCTCTGGACCTGATGGCAGGACTCTCTACACTTGGCTTTTGCTGCATAACATGTTTCTTTCAACGTGAAACTGTCCTTGGTTACCAGATGTTTTCCCCAATTGATTTTTCTAATTTACCTTCAGTTGGTGACTTTGGTTACTTTTATTAAATAAATAGACTGATAAATTTACAGGAACTCAGAAACCTTTCCTGCTCAAACCCAGGCCCTGTTAACACACCCTGAACAGGAAAAACAGAGGAATTGGCAAGTCTCTGTTGTTCCACCTGTCAAATAGCAGGGAAGCTGTTTCTGTTTCCTCCAGAGATTGGGAAACAGCAGCAGAACCCTTTATAAGAGGTGATGGGTTTTAAGGGGGGGAGGTGAAGAAATGGGTGATTTTAAGTAGAGGAGGTTGGGTGGGATTAGGTTCCTGACAGAGGGGTGATGGTGGGAAACAGAACAGCTCTGGGGGGCTGAAAACACTCCCCAGAATCTTGTCCCTTTGCTTGATGCTTTAAAACAAGTGTGTGCCCATGGAGAGGAGTCTCTTGGGAGCTGGGAGCTAAAACACAGGGATGCAGGTGTGGGAGGGGGAATGTCCTGCAGGTCTGTGTGAGCTCAGGCCTCAGCAGGAACTGCTACAGCCCCATTTCTGTGGAAGTCAGGAGCCTCCCAACAGCAGTTTCCAGGAATTCCTGCCCTGTGCCCTCAGCACCTTGCTGTTCTCAGGACATTGGCTAATTCAAATCATCTGGAGCAGCCAAACTGGGAAATGGGTTTTCTGGGCGTGAACTTTGGTTTTATCTTGTCGGAGTCTGAGTTTGTCCACCCAGGGCATGGAAAGTTCAGGTTGTGTTTTAAACCACATTGTCATTTACAGAGACTGCCTTGAGAGCATCCTGAGCTCACTTCTGCAGCTCCACACCTTCAGCCTGTGTCACTTTAGGCCTCAGCTCTCCTGTGTGTGAGATGCTTCCAGTCCTTCCATCATGGGGAATCCTCTCGAGTTCCTTGCAGCACACACAACTCCAGACGGGAAGTTTCAGGAGGACACTGAGGTGCTTGTCTGGTTTCCATCAGAGTTTTGTAGTTTTCTAATGCTTCCAACATGTTTGAGAGCTCTCAGATACCTGTTCTCTGTTGAAGGGTGGGGAAGGAGGGGGTAGGAATGGTTTAAATCACTAAACATACGTGTTTAGGACGTTGTAATTGTTCAGATCAACCAGTGTATTCCTAAAGTATAAAGTTGGATCTAAATGTAGAACACAAAGAACTAAGAAGCCAGACATGGTGTTTGCCAAGAGACAATGCCTTCACATTTTCCTCAAAAGACTGGATTTTCACCATCTGTGTCCTACCACTGTGAAATAATGTATGTTGACTGGAATGTGCAAAATTGGGATTCTTTTAAAATTCTGTCAAGGTTCTTGTTGGCAATTTAGAATAAAAACATTTTAAGTGTCCTGGGACTGCTTTTCTTGTGAGTCAGTAAGTGCTTACACAGGGAGCTCTCCTGTCCACCTTGCCTTCATTTATTTTTTGTCACTTGCAATGAAAGTGGTGACAAATGCCAGCTATGATTGTTTCTGGTTTGGCAGCAGTGGTTTATTTGCAGGGTTTGTGGGCCAGAGCACTACAATTTTACAGGTAAATGCCATAATTGGGCCCCATTACCCTGAGCTCCTTTAATTGCCAGTGGGTGAAAGCCTCACAGGGCCTGGTGCTCCTGCTCTTCCTTTGGGGCTCACCCTTGTCTGTCCTGGGAGGGGATGAGCTCCAGGTGCTCCTGCTCCCAGGAGGGACATTGTTATCCCAGCCCTGGGGGAATGCAGTAGCCCAGCCTGTCTGGAAAGGACCAGGTGGGCTTGGAAGGTCATGGTTGTTACTTCAAACATCCCCCGGCCACAAGAACTGGGGGGGACCATGAGAAGGGGGTTTGTGTGTAGGGTGGGTGCAGCCAACCTGAGACAGAGCTCTGAGATCCCGTATCTCAGAGAGCTGAAATCCTGTATCCTGGGCAGGTCCTGCGTGTGCCCCTGCCTGGGAAGGGCAGGAAGGCCATGGCTTTGGTGTTCCTGCAGTGCTTTGGGAATGCAGAGTGTAAACCCCAGGGTGACCCTCCTCCAGCACGAGGAATGTTTAAAATCCTGATATCTATCACTGGGCTCTTGGCTCCCTCTGGGTGTTTTGTATTTACCACAGAGTATTTTTAAAGTGTGTCCCAGGGCACCTCCAGAGTGACAGAGGGAGAAGTTTGATGTGACATATTCCTGTGTTAGACCCTCAGTCTCCTGTGCTGGGCAGGTTGTGCATCATTGGAGCTTTCCCCCCATTCCCTGGAAACTGGATGTCCCTTGGCAGGAGCTGATGGGATGCAGAGTCACACCAATACTGGTTTTGGTTGGAAGGGACCTTAAAGCCCACCCAGTTTCACCCCCTGCCATGGGCAGGGACACCTTCCACTAGCCCAGCTTGCTCCAAGCCCTGTCCAACCTGTGTTTTGCACTAAAGGAGGTCGATTTTTAACACCTCCTCCCTTGTACTCGGACATTCCAGGGTTAACATGAGCAATCAGTGTGAGAGGAGAGGCACAGAGCAGGCTTTGCTTCCCGGCCAACTCCAAACAGCCTCTGGTGCTTATCTGCACTATCTTCCTTCTAAATTAATTTTGTCCCACCCAACCATCATCTTTATCACCCATTATCTCCCTCTCCATTCTATACCGTACCCCCATTTCACGCTTTTTAACTGCTCAAATACCCACTCGATTGGTTTCTTTGTTTCAAAGCTTTTCCCTCTCAGGTTTAATTGTCTTGCTTTAACCCCACCCAGAACATCCCACAACCATTCCCTCCCTGCCCTGGCCGGTGGGATGGGGGGGAACGAAGGGGGCAAAAGTAAAACTTGTGGGTTGAGATAAGGACTCGTTAATTAAATTTAATAATTAAAACTATTATTGTTTTTAATATATATTTAATTATTATTTTTAAAAAGCAAAGGGACAGAGGAGTAAAACCCAAGAGAAACAGGGATCGAAGCCCTTCAGGGGCCCTGGAAGGGACACGGTGCAGACCCATCCCATCTCTGCACCCCCCTCAGACCTACAGCACCGACAACTTCCTGCATTCTCTGCTGGATATTTTCTTATTTAGTGTTTTGTAGCTCTGGGGGACTGGAATTATTTCAAAACAGAAATTAATAGCAAGAGGAAGATAATCCAACCCCTTGATCTCACATTTGAAATCCACAATCTCTTTATCAACAGCCCCACTTTGCCCTCCAGGTTCTTCCTTCACTGCTCTTAACCAGAACCCAGAGAAGGGGCAGCAGGACAGGGGGTCTCCCGGCCCCCAACCTGCATCATCAGCCCCATCCCTGGGGGCCTTTGGCTCCTTTTGCTACCAAAGAATTCCTACAAGCCCTTCCCAACCCTCCCTGGCTTTGACCCCGGAGCAGCATCGATCCCACTCCGAGCTGGCCAATCCTGCTTCCACCTTCTGGGAACTTCCCCTTGAGCTGGGACAGGGCTCCTGACAACCCCAAACTGGTCCTGCTGGATGATCTGGGCCCCAACGTGCTGGTCAAGGTAAAAAACCTTCATTGTGGCTGAAAAAAAAATCTTTATTCACAGAATATCACATGAATCACGTCATGTCCCACCCCAACTCCTTTATGTATAAAATACTGGTAAAAAGGGTTTTTTTCCAGAGGCAAGTGAATTCCCAGAGTGTCCCCTCGAGGGAGAGCAGCTCATCCCAGAGCTGGAGCTCGTGGGAAGCAGAAGTGAGGTCTTCAGGAAGGAAGGACACGTCCCAGAGCTGCAGCAGCAACACAAGCAAAGCCAGGAGAGCTCCAGGTCCGGCTCACTCCCCATCCCAGGGACCCCAATCCCACCCCATCCCACTGCAGTGGAGGCTTTTTAGGGGTTTTACACAGGCCCCTGAGAGCACTTGGGTTTCCAAGTCCACCTTGGACTTCCCATGCGGTACAACCACGTGTCCTCAAATCCAGGTTCCCAGGGGGTTCCTCCAAGCCCCTCATCCACCTCTGGATGCAGGGGACAGCAAGGACACTTGGCTCCCCATGGGGAAATCAGCCTGTGCAGGGACAAAATCAACAAATCAACAAGGAAACATCTACTGAAATGCCAAACTGGGCTCAGAAACAGAAAAAAAATCCAGTTCCAAATATTTTATGGCTCCCACCACACCCCAAAAGGAAAGAGATTGGCCAGAGACCCACCTTTGTGTGAGACAAACCCTCCTACAGCAGGTCACAACCACAGAAACTTTAAACAATGACAACCCCAATCTCTGACCCCCAATCTCTAAAATCAAATGGAATTGGAGCAGTTCATGGGAGACAGAAAGAGATTTCAGGGACCCCTCACAAGTGCCCAGCTGTCCTGCCAAGTGACCTCCCAAGGGCACCACAGGAGGAATCCATCAGATTTCATACTCAGAATAAATCTAAGATCAATTTGGATTTAAGGTTTGGATTGCAGAGCAAGACAGATGCTCTGTCACTGCCACAATTCCTCTTTTCCTTTTAATCCCCTCCTCCCTTGCGCTCAAATGAAAACCAATTCCATGCCTGCTCTGCCAAATTGTTTCCTTGGAAAGCCTGGACAAAGAGGGAACACAGAGCAGGACACAGCTCAGAGGCATCAAGCCCATGGAGAAGCCCGTGGGCTGGGGCAGCTGATCTGCTCTGGGAGCTCTGTCTGGGCACAGCAGCCCAGCACAGCCCCGGGCTCACTTGCCCACGCTCACTGAAATTCATTTTTGGAGTTATTTAAACCGTTTCTCCCAGTTTGCCACAGGCTACATGATAAAAACAAAGAGAGAATGCAGAACTTGTGATCTGTCACTAATCCAGAGACCCACAACCATTCCAGACAGAAAACAAGAAAGGAATTGCCAGCACAAGGCCACATCATCTGGATATGACACCTCTGTGCTGCTGCCAGAATGCTTCAGACACGTTGGGATGGGAATGGACCTGAGGGGTGGTCGAAATGGATGCTGCCCAAAATCCCAGGATGGCCTCTCTGACAGAACCCCCAGGCTGCAGGGAAAGCAGGGCTGGATTGGAAAGAGGCATCTCCCAGCTCGGGGTTGACCTGTGCCAGGGAACCCCCCGAGCAGACGTGTCCCAGCCAAGTGTCTGTGCCAGTAACTCCACGGG